CCCCGGGAGCCGGCCGCCCGCCTGGAGAAGGCCAAGCAGAAATCAGCCCAGCAGGAGCTGAAGCAGAGGCAGAGGGCGGAGGTGAGCGACCCGGGGCTGGGGGGGCCGACGGCAGCGCTGAGGCCAAACCCCCCCTCCCCATCGCCTCTTTCTCCCCACTCCCCACGCAGATTTATGCCCTCAACCGAGTGATGACGGAGCTGGAGCAGCAGCAGTTCGACTCCTTCTGCAAGCAGATGCAGGCCTCTGGCGAGTGAGGCGGCGTGCGCGGCCCCACAAACGACCCCAGGCACCCCCACCTGCTGCCCGGCCCCTTTTCTAACCCCTTTGTTATTTATTACCAAATAACTGCCTTTTTTTTTTTTTTAAATAAAATCTGTGGTGATTCCACGTTTCTCCGGCTCCTGGTCCCTCAGCGGCGCTGACGGCTCTGTCCCAACCCGGTGCCGGGTGGGAATGGCGTGGGGGAGGCCGGATCGGGGCCGGACGCCAGAGCAGCTGCGGCCACCGGTCGCCAGCTCCGGCCCTCCTCGCGCCGACCGAGACCTCGGCCTGCCGGTTCCCTGCCAAGGGGAAGGGTCCTGCCCTCCCGGTGCCTGGCTTTGGCCGCTCCCCGGGGCCGCGGCAAGGGGATACGGCGAGGGCCGCATCCAGCTCTCGCAGCTGCTCGCGCCGCGGGAGCCTCCCCGGGGACCCCGGGTGTTTCTCTCCGCCGCTCGGTGCAAGGTTTGACCTTCGCTTCCTTCCTCCACCCACACGCCCTCCGCTTTCCAGCCGCCGCCGTTGTCCGGCAGCCTCTGGCTTTCCAGAGAGTTCGCATCGCCGGCTTCAAATCCCGCTTTCCCCTTCCACCTCCCTCCCACGCCCCAGCGAGCGAACACCAAGATGGGGGGGGAAAAATAAAACACGTTAGAGAGGTGATTTCCCCACAGCGACGGGTAAAATAATAAATACCAAAACGCTGCCGGCGAAGCGGGTGTCAGACACCCTCTGGAGGTTTGATCGGCGGCTTCCTCCCCCCGGGGAGGGGGCTTCCTCCTTATGGTCGGGATTTTGGGGGTGTAAACCTCCCCCTCGTAATAAATTAATGATGTACGATCCCTAAATTTCCCATCCCCCAGCGCGGGGAAGGGTGTGGGGGTCTCTGGGGAAGGGTTTGGGGGTCTCCGGAGCGGGGCTGTTGTGGCGGGGGACTGGGGTTCGCTCGTCCCCCCGCGGCGCGCAGGGCACGGGGGGGTATTTTGGGGCTCCCCCAAAGCGGAGCCTTTCCCACTGCTCAATTATTTCCCTTTTGCTTTTCTAAACAGGCTCCCGCCGCGGCTGGGATTCGGCGAGAAGAGCGACGGGAGATCCCGGTGGAGGAGGCGGCACCTGAGAGCGAGGAGGAAGAGGAAGAGGAAGGCTTTACTAGGCGTTAGGCGAAGGCGGGGGTTAGGCTTTGCAGCTCCAGATGGCGAAGGGGAAGACGATGTAGGACGTCGACCAGGCGAGGCAATAGACGGAAGCCACCACCGCCGGCGAGAAGGCGACGGCCGCCACCCCTGCAGATTGGGAAAAGCCTTTGGGATCTGCTCCTTCCTCCTCCGCCGCCGTCCCGCTGGCTTTAATTACCCCTCCCTCGATTTTGTCCCCGTCCTTACCTCCGGCGTAAACCAGTTTCTTCCAGAGCTGGGACTCCAGCACCTTGTCGTGGGGGTAGAAACCCCGATCGACCATGAAGAGGATCATGACGGTGGCGGTGACGCGCAGCAGGGTGACGTCACCTCCCCCCCGCCAGCAGCGAGGAGGCGTAGGGACAGGGCAGCCCCCGGTAGGTGAAGGGGATCCCTGCTGGGTGCCAGACGTTCAGCCGGGGGGAGGAAATCACCCCCAAAACCCCCCCGGTGCCCCCCAAACAGCTCGGCTTACCACTGGAGAAGAAGCACAGGCGAGCGAACACGGCCATCACGTAGGCGATGGCCAGCAGCCCACCCAGGACGCCCTGCGGCTGCAGCAGCAGAGCCGTGGCCAGCCCGAAGGTGGTGAAGTCGGCGAAATCATCCAGTTTGGCACCTGCGGGCAGCGAGCAGGCAGCTGCCAGACGGGGAAGGAGGGAAGGAGAACGCGGCGGTGGGTTCCCGGGGCGGCGGGACGGACTCACCCAGCGCCGAGCAGGCGTCGAGCTGTCGGGCGACGGCTCCGTCGGCCAGATCGAGCCGAAACCCCACCAGCAGCAGCCAGCACCAGAGGCGG